AGTATCGGAAGAATAATTATGCAAACCTAGACGTTTGGAACAATCCAATGTAATAAAGTTTGCTTGCGAGCCACTATCGAGCAAACAGCGAATAGTTTGTTCCTTGCCACGAGCATCCCTAACCATAATTACAGCGGTCGATAACAAAACCGTGAAGTTGTTACATTGCTTTACGTTCGGGCGTGAATCTTCCATGCTCGTAGGTAACGAAGCAATGGACGCGTGACACTTTAGTGCATTGTCAGCGCTCGACGGCTCTCGTGGTGTCGTCGTTGTTTCTCGGGCCGATACAACTGGTCTTGTATCAGGTGAACGCACGGGGCTCGAGTTTGGATCGCTAGAACCCGCGGCACTGTTATCGCTCGAAAGTTGCGACGAACTATTATTTTTGCGATTATCGAAATGCAAAAGCGAGTGGTGTTTATTAAAACAGATTTTACATTTTGTTGTAGAATTACAAGAACTGACACGATGTTTTATACTCAAACAATTAATACAAGCACTATATTCTTTGGCAGACCTAAAGCGATCCCCAGGCGACATATGAGAAAACGACGGACATTTATATAAATGTTCATGTACGATATTATTACATAAACACTTACCCGGTTTATTAATAACTGTGTATGAATGCGGTTGCGGTATTTTATGAGATTTATCAAAGCTAAGCGATTTTTTGTTTACAATTTTACTATTAAAGTTAGTATTATTCGACCCATAAAGAGTTTTAGTTTTTTGTAATATGCGATATTGTTTTCTAACGAATTGAACTAAACCTTCAAACTTTGGTATTTTTTCTGTACAATTCAATCTTTTTTATAGCAATGTGAAATAAAATAAAATCTGCGAGGTTGTCAATCATAAGATTTTTTAATGCATTTGCGGACGAAACGAAGTTTTCTGTAAATGACTCGAAATTATTAATAGATGCACAACTAAATGATTTGTACTCGATCATTTTATTTAAATATGCGGAGGCTAGCATGCATTTATCTTCATACTTTTCTATAAGAGAATCGAAAATAATTTGGTAATTTTTTCCATCTGGGGAAATACCAGAAAATGCGGACTGTGCCTTATCAGATAATTTACCTAGTAAATAGTACAGTTTTTCCGAATCAGATAATGAATTATTATCATGAACGATACTTTTAAAGTTAGCGTAAAACATAGGCCAATTGCGAATGTCACCATCGAAAGACATAATTTCAATGGGCGGTAAGCGAATTTTTTGTTTATCGGAATTACTTGACGAAGCGGCAGGTACAAGTGAAGATTTTGTCTTATAAGAATCATAATAGTATTTAATGCGGCAGTATAAATCTTCAAATGTTGACCATGAATGCGTATCTATTTTGGATTTCGAATTTTGTTTAAGAACAAAGGTATTATAGCTATCTACTGCGTCGCGAAATTCAGTGCGTATTGTATCTAGATTGATACAAGCACACAAAAACGTCTCTAGTTGCTCATGACCAGAGTTAACCTTTTGATACAAGTCGAAAATATTCTGTATGCGGGCGTAGATAGTGTTACGGCGCGACAGAGCTACTTGAATTTCTATTTCAAAAGGTGCATTACTTTCGGTAGCCATTACGATAGGTATAAATTATTTATAGTTTAGCGAAAATAAATTCAAATCGACAAACTCGAAAGTGAATTATTACGAATAACAATAAATGAGCGGCGAAGATAAATATAGTATTATATTTATATTTGTTTATAGCGGAAATGGTTAAGCGAGCGAGTCGTCTAACGTAGGTAGGAAAGGGTTTTATGTGAACCTACCCAATATATGCGGACGATAATTATTTAATAAACGAAATGGTACGATAGTAATATGCGGACGATAATAATTGATAATGCGAAATGCGGGATTTAATAGTTTAGGTGCATAACCGACCGTAAACTAGAAAATAATACGAAAATATTTCTTTGGAGCGGAGCGGAAAATGAGCGGTAGATCCGGCTCGAAGGACCAATAATGGGGAAGCTGAATGCGGTAAAGGATATCTGGTGGGGTCGAAACCCCGGAGAGTGGACTGTAGGTGTGGTTCGAAGTATTAAGGGGGTTTGGTTAATGGGATAGGATGAAAAACACTGTGCTTACTTGAGGGCCTCGATGGTGGCGCTGGCTCATACGCCGGCTTCTCCTGCAGCAGTCTTGTCCTGATGCCAGCGGTTAAAGATGGCGGTCAAGAAAGTCCTTTTTGATAGCTATCACCAATCACACACAAACCTCCTATTTGCGATAAAACTGTTCACTTAAAGATTGTTTATTAATCTTCACACTTATTTATATGAGTTTAATGCGGAAAAATATCTATATCACAATTGTTGCGGAGCGATGAAAAATACGACCATTTCGTCCTTACGCGGTGACAGAACTTTTTTTCTTTTGTTGATGCGGTGACAGCCTGCTGACAGAGCCATTTCCTTCCGGCCATCCGTCGTTGCAGGCAAATATATTGCGTCTTCTTCCCTCATAAGCATAAGGCACAGTGTTTGAAGGAGAAGAATCTATTGGGATGCGGTTAATTCGAAAAGAGAATGACACGGTATGAAATTTAGAGACTAGAATATGTTTTGGCGTTACCAGTTACATTCATAATAATGAAAAAACGTTGGTAAACTAATAGGGAAATTTTTAGTCTATGGTCAACATAGGCACATGCTTCGTAACAAACTAATCAGACTACAGGACGACAACCATCTCAGATCATTGGCGACTAAAGTATGTCCTCAAGTAGGAGTATTATCGCCTCTGCTATGGAATGTAGTCGTAAATGACTCAATCACCAAATTACACACGGTGGGCTACGCGAACGACCTGGTAATCATAATCCCGGGTAAGTTTGCGAGCACGGCCTGTGTTGTTGATGTGACACATGAAGGTGGTTAAAAATGTTGTGATGACTATGGCCTCAAGGTGAATCCAGTGAAGACAGAAGTGATCATGTTCACGAAAAAATATCCTTAGGCGTCTATCGGCTACCGAAACTATTTAACACGACACAAAGGCTCTCTAATGGGGTAAAGTATCTAGGAATAACCCTAGACTTCAAACTGAACTACAAATCACTATTAAAAATACACATAGACAAAACTATTAAGAAGACTAACATCATTTCCTGGCAATGGCGTAAAATGATTAGCAAATCTTGGGGACTATCACCGTTCCATGTTAGGTGGCTGTATACGACCACAATTAGGCCGATCATCAGCTATGCAGCATTAGTATGATACAACGACAGTTAATAAGTCGAGACGTCTCCAGAGCGGGCCTGCTGTGCAATCACTGGCTGCATGGAAACCACTCCCACATCAGGACTGGAGACAATACTTAAAGTTATTTATACAACAGGAAGCTGCTTGTACCGCCACATGCTTAAGTATGCTGGGACTATGGAGGGCAACAATTCTCCACATATCAACATCTAAGCAGACATACATGGGCACTTTCCGTACTTTGCAGCAATAAACGACCTTATTCCTAAGACTTACGTATTTGAAAAAAAATATATATAATACAACTTTATGAAGACACTCCGGACCGTTGTCTGCATAAGGAGCTAAGGGTCTACACAGACGGATCAAAAACCAACTGTGGTACAGGTTCGGGTATCTTTTCCGAAAACCTAAATATACACATTTAAAACAGCATTGGGAGCCTATAACAGTCTTCCAGACAGAGTGTGTGGGAATCATTAGAGCCGCAGAGGCGTTAGATTATCGCGGGGTAAGAGAAAAACATATTCGTATTCTCTCTGACAGCGCTTCTGTCCTACAGGCACAAAAAAGGCTTCATTTTAAAGGATTAGCACAGTCGATTAATGGTAAATGGACAATTAATGGTTTTATTTTATATTGTTTTATATGAACGCAATAATAAACTGGTTACAGCTGTTAGTCCTAAGACAAATAATTAGTAAGAAAAAAAACGTGGCGCCTTATAATACTAGCTAACTCAGATCCTTCCTTCAAAACATTTTCTTTTTATCTATTTAAGCAGCTTGTCTTGTCAACAATTAACAAATAAGTTAAATGTATTTTTAAGGTCATTAAATTCTTTTAATTACGTATTTTATAACTTGGTTGGATGGTTGAAATTGTATTATATTTAAATTGTTATATTAAAAATTCAGTTGAATTGTCCCACATTATGTTATCACCACCACCAACCGACCTATACATATTTTGGCTTAAAAGAACAACACGTTCAAAAAGGAATCAGCATTTAACGGAAGTAACAACATTTACAATAAACGTTGTTGCAACAAACACGCGGGTTGTACAAATAAATACTAATTTACACGATTCCCAATAAACCAGTCTGGGGATATTTATGTAAAAATCCATAACTGGATGTGAAATTTCAAATCATATAGGTATTCAATAGACGATGAATATGATATTATGTGGTCACGCAATTTATTAATAAGAGTGTGGTTTAAAGTTGTAATCATGGTGAGATAGAATAAAAAATTACTAACGTAAATTCTGATGCCCATATCCGCATACATGCCATTCTCGCAATTACGCTGACATCAACAATCGATAAAAAATATCTTAAAGGCCAGCTCGACCTTGACTCATGTATAATAATAAACATCTGAACATAAAAGGTTCAAATCATACATAAGTTTACGCCATTATTCTACTTGGAAAGTCAGAAAACTATTATTTATGTAACGATTAATCGACAGCATATAGGCGTCCGGCTTCGCACTTATGAAATTTACTAATGTAAAAAATAGCAAAATATTAGGATTTAAAATTATGGATTTTTGATTCTTTCTGGTGGATTTTCCAAAATGTTTTTTCCGTAATCCGTCCCAGGTTCCCACAGGTGCAATTTAGTAAAACAAAATGCGAGAGATTTCAAATAAAAAAAAATATCTCGATTCTGGTGAACTTTCAAAAACATTTGTTTCATGTACTCCTTGTACTTGAAAACTAGGCTCAAAAATAGGTCATATCAAAATATAATGCAGACTCACCGACTTTATCTGGATCAACGATTTTTGTACCCAGAGATCGAATTGCCGTAACTCCTACATTTCCGAAGATATCAAACACGGGGCCAGCAAAGAACCAATCTCTGGTTGGAGCAAGCCCGTAGACAAGAGAAGATAATACTTTACTCGTTGTCGCAATTATCCCCAGCACACAGTCGTGCATTGACATCCATTTGCTAAATACAGTAACAGCTATAGCAGTTCCTAAAAACATTTACATTTTTGTCAGTTAAATATAAATTAAAAAAGTGGATAGAATATCTCAAAAGTCGATATGCAAATGGTAATCTGTATAATGACCTAACCCACACAGTAGGAAAAAAATATGGGCTGTTGCTGAAGTAAAACTTCGATGGCGCATTTTGATTAGCGCGTTCCGTCTGCGATAGTGAAAGTTAAGCAACTTTCCCAATGACCGGCCATCCATTGGGATGGGTGACCAAAAAACTTATTATCTCGAGCTCCTCCGTACTTTGGAAGGCACTTTCGGCCTTTGGTACCGGCTGCATCTGCAGTTGTTACCACCCACCTATCCGCACTGGTGAGTCCCGCGTGGTGGGAAATGGCACATTCTCCCTTTGCTATCCTAGGGAAGACCTGTACGTGACCTAGCAGTGGAGGCATTTATAGCCTGGTGAGAATTGGGAGGCTGAAGCGACACTTTACATTTTAGGAATTTTTGCTATTTTTGTTAAAAACAGTAGGTTTTCCCTACAGATCTCTGTATCTATACTTCTATACTAATATTAAGGAAAGATTTGATTGTTTGTTTGTACTGAAACTACAGAACCGTTTGAAAAATTCTTTCATATTTAGAATTATATATTATTTCCCTGATGAACAAAAGCCATAGAGCATTTTCAAAAAAGTTAGGGTTCCGTATGAAAAGTTTGACAATGTGTGAAAAAACAGCAAAAAACAACATTATATCGGGTACGCTGCTGAAGTCATTGACAATAGAGCAAAGTGATGTACTATTTTTTTATAGAGAACATCAATATCTTCAAAAAAGTCCGCGATATGTCTTACTATTACAGTTATGCCACAACTAGAGGTCCTGTGCGATTACACCCGTGATAATTTGAGGAAAAAGGTTGTAGTGAGTCAAACTTAAAAGATGGACATATGCTTACGCGGACTTTTTTGTATAACTTTGTAAGGAAAATAATTCCGTAATACATGATTTTTGTGTAACTTTAACCGTTTATCCATTTTTCATCGATCCTCCGATCCTACTGATCCTAGCGTGATATTATAAAGATAGCATAAAAAATCAAATCGGACCAGTATCTTAGGAGATTAGCGCGTTCAACCAAAAAAGAAACTCTCCGGCTTAATGATATTAGTATGTCTAATTTTCACTGAAGGTTTATAATTATATGAAGAGTCTTTTAGTCTACACTACAGCTCTACACCGAAGTGAAGCTAGGGCGGGCCACTAGTATCCTAATAAACTATATGTGTGCTAAATTTTATCCAAATCCATGGAGTGCTCGCGATTCAGCCGAGGAAAATATACAGGGCGTCCCACGGGTTTCTCACACGGAGGGAAAGTATATTAAATATTGAAGATAGGATATTTTACTGAAAGAAGACATCATTTTATTTTTAATAAAAACTAGAAATTCACAAATCGCCATGTGTTATTTTTCAAATTTCACGAGTTTGATTCCAAGTTGTAGCAGGCGATTTTAAAAAAAATCTGTGAATGCAGTTCTACTTATTATTAAAAATAAAATGTCTTCTTTCAGTAAAATATTCTATCTTCAATATTTAATGTACTTTCCCTACGTGTGACAAACCCGTGGGATGCCCTGTATACTGATTAATGAATTTATAGCAGACCTTTTATAACGAAATTAAGATATATATAGACATATTTAAATAAATCAAATAATGTTTCATTTATTTAATATTTCTTCCATTGCCTATGGTAAGAAAATCAATAATTATTAGATAATAATAAATATTTTAATATAACAAAGAAGTTCTTACCAACAATTCCCAAAATTAAGGAATACGTAGTAAAAAGACTGAAGTCCACGAGGTCCATGCTGTATCTGTTTAGTGTATAAACGTAAAGATTTGTCCCTTCGCCTGAAAAATAATAAATTTACACGTTAAATTTTAGATGAATCTAAAAAAAGGCCAGTAGCAATGTATATGTAAAACGATGGTTTCATAAGTAGAGAGACTTCTTACTAACTGAAAAGCAGAAAATAATAAACCTTTTTATCTTTGGTCAAATTAATATTTGGAGTCAGTGCAAAGCATGTCTGATATATCTGAGTCCCCAGTTACTACTTGGGTTGGCATGGCACTTACTCTAAATATTAATTTGAATAAATATAACACAGGTTTATTGTTTCCTGCTTTTCAGATTTTTCGGCGGTATAATTATTGTGCTCAAAAGATTTTATTTCATTATCTTTTGTGGCTTTAATTTTTGAAATAAACAAGTCGGCATCAAAATCTGTGAGTGAACAATCACCCCTATTTTTGTTTCTTTTATCTAGGACAAACTTTGAGATATAACGTATCCAATAAAAATCGGTCAAGTGCGTGTCATGCCACGCTCAGTGTAGGGTTCCGTAAAGATTTTATTGTATTCTTGAAATAGATTATTAAAATTTTGTTATTTAATTCAACGCTTTCTGCGATGTCAGCAAGCAATTACTTCATCAAAGACACTTTCAATGTATTCTTTTTAGGATTTTTTATTTGGTAAGAAATTTTGTAATACCTAACATAAACGACTATTTCTCTTATACTAACTGATCTATCTTAACCGTCATGATTTTCTTTAAAAGTTCGTAAAAAACACTGCTATTATAATTTTCTTAGGATTTTTCAATGGTTCAGCTTTAAAGGGGCGGCGGACCTACTCCAACAATAATTTGCAATTTCAGGTTTATTTTTTCATAAACGGATGCCTAAATCGAAAAATAGTCTTAGCAACACCTAAATCATTAGAAATGACCTATTCAACGATACCTCATAAGATGGAGTAGACGATAAAAAAAAATTAGCCCCACTTTACATGTAGGAGAGCTACCCGAAAAAAAAGGTTCTTTTTCCAAATTTATAATATAGCATCAACTTGGAAAAATACTCTTTCTAATAAAAAAAAGTATTATTATAATCAGTGTTATCTGTAAAAAGTTATACGTGAACTGATCAAACATAAAAATACACGTCGACTTGATAAATTCCTCCGTTTTTTTTCTTCGATTGAAAATTATATTATATCACTTTAAATTCTTGCATGGTAGCTATGCATCAAATTAAAATTCATTTATTCAGTAAAAGTTGTCACGATCAGTCATAAATATCTAGGAACTACGTCATCACAAATTTTATTAAATAAACCGAAACAAAACTGTTAATGTGGATATTAACCAATAAAGTATTAAAGGTAATACTGACCGAAAAAATAACATTGATTACGTTAGCTCTTAACTTTCCAATGTAGGTAATGATAGTCTATAAATGGACAGGTCATATTTGGACATTTGTAGGCGTTGACAATCCATTACTTATGTTCTTCCACAATCTTTTGCCGCCCAGCCAATGCCAAATCTAGCAATGTTTAGGTATTGACTATGGGAATAATTTTAATGGTACTGTTTTCCTCTCCTGCTCGCCTTACGCGTTCTGCTTTACCCGGATTCGAACGCAGAATCCAGAGCTATTTCGCCTTTGTACTATCATTAAAGTTAGTATCATTATTAGTATTAATTTTAAGTAGGTGTTCACCTTCATATAAAACTGATCAAATCATTTATTATGTTTCAAGTTTAGCGAGAAACCTGCTTTTCCTGTTTTTTTAGTGTTCTGTTATTAATATTCTCAAAAAAGTTAAAGGTACGATATGGATTAATGTTACCGTTTTAGTATACCATAATTAAGACGACAAAGTAATAATATCGATGAGTAAAATTATTACTTACCTACCACTGGTCCCATAATAACGATATGTGCCCAAATAACAAGAAGTATTTGGGCCAGCATCCTACCGCGACTGAGAAATAGCAAAGAAATCGTATCCCAAATATTTCTGATATGGAAAAATTGAGTTAGTTTGTAGCAAAATGTTCCTTCGATTTTAGTTCTTCTCACGTCATGAATACGGAATAATGTATGAATAAATCCAACTATGTACATTAGGATTGCTATACCAAATATTCCATAGTATCCGACCGCTTCGGTCAAGACTCCACTAATAGCTGTTCCCAGGGGAATTCCAAGAGTCACTATCACAGCAACAACACCGATCCTGAATGTACGTTCTTCCGGAGTGGTGACGTCAGCAATAAAACTGTATGCTCCCATAATAGCGACTGGTAAACCTCCCGTAAAAATAGAAGACATAGCTTGAATCAATCCCATAACCCATAATGGTAATTCATAGAAATAATAAGTTCCTATCATCAAGCCGATTAGTGACATGACTTCGCCAATTATTGGTGTGAGTAATAACGCCTTTCTATTACCGGTTCTGTCACTCCAGGCACCAACAAATAATATAAATATAGCTGGTATTCCAGTTTGAAGAGGATCCTTCCATGCAGTCATATCAACCACAAGTGTAGACGCACCCACTAAAGCTTCTTCCGTGATATTATCACTCGTATTACCAGCCACGACATTGGCACATATATCTTCCGTATAGCCCAAATCGACACGACAAGCTTTTTCCATATTTAACTTTTGCACTCCTACAGAACAGATTATACTCGGCAAAATATAACACAGTAAATATGGTTCTACTGTAAAGAAAGTTAAGAATTTTTGTATTAGTTTCGATAATGAAAATGGTTCCTTGGGCGACTTTTTTACATTTTTATCGTCCATATCGCCATTCACTTTAGTAGCACTATTGTCCGTTTCAACTTCCATTTTATCCTTCATTTTAAAAATATTTCATATTTTCACTAGATCAACACAAAGAATGTGTATTTGTTGGTATACACACCGAGACTGCGGTGTAACTTCAAATAATCAAGTCAAGCGATTCAAAACTTGTTTCTCCTAATTATATTTATCTCGGCGCAAAGATGATTTTAAGTAGGCACATCCTTGGATATTATACAACCGCATACCAAGGTTTATACTAAAATAAAATATGTCGTGTTTATAATTTTATTTTTTTAAGCATGTAACTGCTTGATGTTTAAATCTAAAGAAAATATAACTAGAAAAAATTCCACGCGGTCCCGTCTGCTGCCTGGTGCGCGTGGAATATTTTCTAGTTATATTTTCTTTAAATATTTCGTGTTTTGAAAATTTTTGAATTTTTAATTACAATTTAAATTTATTTTCTCTACTATGGTGATTATTCACAAAAGTGAGTCCGTAAACTCTTCTCGTTTAAACTTTTTATCCCAGAAATGATAATTTAAAAGAGTATAAATCGGGTAAAGTTAATCTGTATGGTAAACCAACTCTCCCGTACAGACGAAGTTAGGAGTAGTAACTATAAATAGGAATATGTTCTATTAGTAATCACCAATTGTTAATAAAACTTAAAATGTTATAATGTATAAGTTCAACCTCCCCCCCCCCCCCTCCTCGATTTTGTTATATCTTATTAACCAGTTTTACTAATGTCAAGGTTACAATGTGATTGTTTTTAGTTTATTTATTGGTGTTGATGACTTTTTTTTCTTCTAAGCAAAAATCTGATATTATTGAAATATTGAAGAACCAATAACACACTTGAAGTAGTATGATGAATATTGATTATTATTTAAAAAAAACATTATTTTCAAGTATGTTATTGATTCTCATATCTTAAAGGTTTCGTAATATTAAACTATTAAAACATGATGTTATTGTCATTTATAAAGCAAGGGTCAACAAGTCGGGACGAGTAGGAATCCCCCATTCCATTTATCTCTACTTACATTGGTAGGGATACTTGGAGTTTTTTTTCCAATTATCGCTACCGATTGAGACTAGGTAGCACCTGTATAGATATTTTGACTGATACGATATTTCTCAATACTTACTCGAATAAAGCAAGCAATAAAATGAAACAATAAAAAAAAGGAAAAAAGAGGAACTACTTATTTTTTATATTATTTTTATTATTATCTTGCACTCTGTCCGGTCACGTCTACGTCCGGCTTTGCGTGGGTTCTGTAATAATAACGAGGAATCAAATATATGAATGTGTGTGTCAGCTCCGACGCACGACCGGAGTTTACACTCTAAAAACGTTTGTCTTTGAACAGACACAAAACAAAATCAAGTCCGAAGAAGTCGGTTACAAGCAAGATACCTCAGGAATCGTCCCATGGTTTCGACTATCATAGGTTCCATGTCACACATTTTATCATCTAACATCAGCGATATTCATCATATATTTTATTATGTATTTCTGGAAACACACAATTTCAAAAATATCCCACACTAGTCATCATTTTGTAAATATGTATTATAATTCCATCTGTACTGAAAATCACTATTCCAGAGTGCTGGAGACTTACCAGCATTTCTCTATATTCTGTTATTTATTTGTTTTCATTATTTTGCTCCGATTTTATCTATTTTTAGTTTATTTATTTTATTGACATTTGTGACAACTTAATGTTTTTTATCCGTTGCCATGGCTAAAAGTGAAAGGTGCGCAGATGAGGTTGCGCACAAAAACGTAACGAGGTCATTAATGTCATTCATCGATAGATTTTACTCCACACATTTTTCTCATACCGGGCCCCTTATATATGCAAATCGATTCTTAAGGAGGAAACTCCAAAAAAATTTTGTTGGCCGTCCTTCCTAGCCAAATTTGATAAGAGCCTCTTAGTGCAGCCTTAGTTAATCGTTCCAAAATTGAACTAACTGCAGTTTCGATAGGCCTAGGTCTTTAAGAAGGTAATAGAAAAAATTTGCTGTTATACCTGTCGCTCCTACTTATACCGCATATTAATTAACTAGATTTGATTTGATTTTTAGTAAGCTCCTTGATTAGATCGTAATATTTATTCAATTTTATGTTAATCTTTTGGAATGATAGTTTCCCACGGTACAGTTAGCTCTATTAGTACTATATGTTTGATGTGCCTATAAAAGAGGAATATGTCCGGCTTGGATGACGAAACACCAATATCCTCTGGTACTTTATAGTGCTTTTCATACGCATCCATTAAAATAGTCCAGTCGGGTTGGGAAGTGATAGATCCTGGCAGGTGGTAGTCTCCTTCTGTGAGGAGTCTGGAGTCTGGTCATCTCACGGAAGGAGGCGGCGGAGAGAGTTCGCGAGGAACAAGCCCACGCGAACTCTCTTCCACGCAGGAGGAGGAGGACTGGTCGGCGGCGCCGAGCCCACCTGCTAGTCCCCTAGCGGTACCTTCTGTGACTGCCAGGGAGGGCTCCGCGGCACCATCTCGAGGGGGTAGGAACCCAGGCAAACGGCAAACGGCGACTCAAAACTGGACCCCACAGTTACGCTTGGAGGGTGAAGGGTAGATCGGGGAGGTGCAGTACTTAGAATTGAGAAAGACTTGCTTTTCGAGTTAACAGTTGAGCTTTCCTTTATAAAGTTAATTTGTTTTTTAATTGTGGTTAATGCTTTTTGGGCTCGAGCCACTGCAAGATTTTCTGCGTCATGTATGGCCTCAAGTACTCTATCTTGGCGATGCGAGTATTAATCCCTATCAAGGAGCACCTTGCAACAAACCAATATGTGCCTAGCAGTACCTATTGCCTCACCACAATTTTTCAGAGGCTTTCGCCCATCTTACTAGGTTACTCTGGTTTGGGAGGGTCATTTGGAAGACATTGAGATAGAATTTTAGTAGAACAGTAGACCAATCATGTAGCAAAGTGCGCCACTTCAGAGCTAATGGAATACAAAACTCACCTACGGCTCACCATTCAATTTTCATTTATAAATTCATTGCATATCTTTATATTTATCATTTTCGTTTTGTTGTAGGAAAGATTTTATTAGTTCATTAACCTGTGCACCTGCCATAAATTGTTTATGGAATTGAAGTATTGACTCAAACTCTGTAACACGTTTAGCTTTTGGAAGTGATGAGACTATTTTATCCTGGGTTTGTCCCAAGACATGCGTCATGGTGACTAAGGTGTTTATAGAGTTTTGATGGCTTCTTTGACTTCATCCTAAAATGATTCTGATCTCTAAATAGAGTTGAGAGATCAGTTGAATAGGCTAGTCTAAACCACAACTTAAATTTCTTTATGATATTTACATCCAATATTGCCAAGAGGATTTCACCAATGTCTTAAACAAGGAAAGGTCAAGTCAGGCGTGACGTAAGATAGTTGTCGTATATCCAAACTTTTTTAATATTGCTCAATGGTTGCTGGTCAACCTTATTTAAGTCATTATTAGAAAATTATTGACAACTGCCTCTTAGGATGGAGTACGTCCTTTGTGCACGATCTTTCTATCCATAAATTTGAAAGGGGCAGCTTCAGCAATCGTGGTAACACATTGTTCTGCTATTGAGAGTTCGGGATCGTAAGAGGTATATTTGGTGTGTCGTCTACCCAGGCATAGACAGCAACACTTACTTAGTTTTGTCCTCAGTCTCCACTTTAATTCATAATGTGTGACATTGTTTAGGATTACGTGTCAGTTTTGCGAGGTTGTCTACAAAGGCTAAGATGGACTTTGTGTATTTATTGTTTGTTTTAAACCGATAGCCCCATTTTTTCTCATGACTTATTAGCTTGTCTATAAAGCGATATAATAGTACTTATTCTGAAACCATAATCCATTACAAAATAAACTGGTAATAGGTACTTGTCCACCGTTTATTTTATTAATATCATCATCTCTTTAATTCATAAGCTATATAGGAAGGAAGATATGAGCAAAATGCACGCACGGCATTGCAGTACCACGTTGCTAATATTAAAAATTCAGGCGTTTCAAATTTGGTAACCCTGGTCGTGCGACGCGCAGTCTAGGGTTCTGTAGTTGCTCATCGTTCATCACATCAGGTGCCTGTGTTTCGTTTTAGCTAATATTTAAGCTTTTGGAGTACCAAAAATGTTCACTGTTTAATATTTCGATAACAGATCCCTAAGCCGACAACAAGTCTTAGCAATCACTAAATACTTTAAAGCATCTATTCAACGATACCCCACACGATGGGGTGAACGATGAAAAAAAAATCATCGCCACTGGGTCCCCAAAATATATCTTTATAAATTTTATTCTACCACTTTGTCGGCGTAATAGAAATACATACCGGAATCCCTGGCAGTGTTGCCAACTCGGATTTTGAAAAAGGCGTAGGCCCGATGAGAAAATTACGTAGAATTGGTAAATTTTGCATATGAAAAGTACGTAGATCTACGTACTTTTTTCTGAGTGAAATTAAGATTGCGAGATTGAAGAATGCGTGGATTTTTTTTCTAGTAAAACTTTTCTTTAGATTTAAACATAGAGCAGTTAAATGCTTTAAAAAACGTAACTTAAATGAAGAAGTTGGGTGAAACCGAATAAAACGAGTATTTTGTATTACAATTTGTTTAAGAACGAGAGATAGAACAAAGAGTTCTTGGAGAAGTCGCTGCATTGGAAGCATTTACCATGCTGTGGTAGACATTAACCATCAGATACAGACACTGGTGGGTGTCGATTCTAGATGGTTCTCTAAATTTAAAACTAAATTTAACATCAATCTCTCCTTTTCATTCTGTATAGAGAATGACAAACTGTTGTTAAATGGGCTAGTTGATACTTTTTGGAAATATGATTTAAAACTTGCTAAATCCTGTAACTTTATCGACTAAAAGTCATTTCTTTTTGCAAAGATCAATTCGATGTGAGTAGGTACTCATTGATAATATTTAAAGTTTAAAAATACAATTTTAAGGTTATGAATGTACCTACTAAGTCAAAGGGTTTTGTCGTTTCTGCTTTCACAAATCCTGCGTCCAGCAATAATTTAGTCAACAAAACCAATAACGGGATCCTTTTCTACAATATACAAGAGCGTTAAGATACATCTTTATAAGAAATAGACATTTGTATAGTTTTTATTCTAGTGAATTACGTTATTTTACAAATTTGAAAAAAATAAGAAAATACGTAGATTCTGGGACTGAAGTTAGTAGGTTTCCAGAAAAGGCCTAAAATACGTAGATCTACGTAAAAAGACGTAGAGTTGGCAACACTGATCCCTGGAACCCGAAAAAGAAACGCGCGCATGCAAACAAACTTACCTGAATTATATAAATGAACTTGATAAAATAACACCTTTTAGCAGTCAAGTCTATCATAAATATCGCACCTTCGATGTAAAACCAACCTTAAAAAGGAAGTAAATACCACTTACTAACAATTTTATTAATTAATGTCTTAGTTTACATCAAAAACGATTACTAACGTGATTACTAATAAATAAAACACAAACACTACTAACACTCACACTAATTATTAACCTACCCCAAAGTAAGCACTGCAATGTGCGTTTTGGGATACCAGGGTAATGGGTCTATAGAATCTTTTTAATATAAGCATAGAATACATAAAACTGATACACACATAAATAAGTTAATTATTTAAATAGAAAATACATACATGACGGATTTTTAGACTTTAGCCGTAAAATATTCCCATCTTTGTTAAAGATATATCGTTAGAGAATGAAAAACTGTTTATGATGCAAGACTGAAAGATCGCACACATGTCACTTAGCCGCACTTTAGTTTCAGGACGGCAGCATTACACAGCTTTTAGTTTCATAATCGAGCGTATGACCATACTTATGCTGTAAAAATCTTAGTGCTGTAATATATATATATATTTAAAATTTCACAGTTTATTGTTTCATAATCCAGCGTATGACCATGCTTATGCTGTAAAAATCTTGGTGCTGTAATATATTTTTTTTGACATTAAATATTTTTACGTGTATTAAATTATATTACGTTTAAGATGAGCAATTTACATTTCATTTTACATTTACACAAATTAACTAAGTAACGTATTAGAAACATTAATTTATGCTTATAGTTTTTAGCAGACTTAAAAAAAAGGATGGTCTCGGTTTGACCTGTATGTATGTTTGTCCGCGATTATGTCAATAACTACTGATCCGATTAGGATGGGGTTTTCGATATAAATACGTATTTATCAGGGAAGGTTTTCAGTACATAATAAACTACATAGCAGTGTCCTTCGTTGCATCCGAGTAGATCGATTAGCGTTTTCCGTATTACATTAAGGGCCGTCCATTAATCACGTGATGTTTTTTTGGGATTTTTAACCCCCCCTCCCCCTTGGTGATACATGATGAGGTCAAAGAGTACCCCCCCCCCCCTTATCATGTGTATTTTAGTATCTACAAAGAATCTAATTTTATTAATATTTAAAAAATATAAGTATCAATATCATCTTACTTTAATAAGGAATATTAAAGACTACAATAATAATTTTAGATTGACATAAATATAATGAAAAATCCGAAAAACTTTTTTGTACTAATACACGAACATTATTTAATGTCCAGTATCCTTGGACCACGGAAATACACGTACTGGACCAAAATCCAGAGAAAAATACCAGACAGCTTACAAAACTTTCAATCAGTGAAAAAATAGCAAAAACGCCATGTAATATTCGGAAAATGTAATTTTAGGCTACTTCAACGAACAGTCCAGTAAATACAAGCCCAGCTCGCTATATACACCAAAGTTAAAAAGCACAGTAACCAAAAATTTATTTGATATACTAACTTACAGTAACTTGGCGGCACTGATGTTGAAAAGTTTTTGAAAGAAGCGCAGGATAGTCAGATCTTGGCTATAAAGGTCAGTTGAACTTTATAAAAGTTACTAACAAAATAAGTTTGTTTTTTCCTCGCCATTGTGTTGAAAAACATCATATGCAACTCATGCGATCATTACACACTCGGCTTTTAACCGCGAACCCGGGCCGGCGGCTCGCGCTTACAATAATGCCTCGTGTGGAATGACTAACTTAACACACTTGTCAGACCTAATCAAACACACCTACCATTTTTCTAAAGAAGAAACCTACGCCTAATTGTATTAGTACATAAAAATAATGATATATTCGCATTTAATTAGGTGCATCTTCTATAAGTATGTAGCTTTACTAAAAGAAAAGATGAATTAGATTTGTATTCTCTAGAAACCTCCAAGTCACAATATTCGGTTTCGGTTCGGTAATACATACGAAAATTTGTTGAATACTAAAAGTATAGATAGTTTTTGCTTGTCTAAGTATCATTTTGTTTCTTATAAATACGAGGTCAAATAAAATAAGAGGGGGTAGTTTGATATTGGGACGTAATTAAAACGACAAACGGGGAGGCGTGCACTTTGTATGTTTATTTGTTTAAACTGAGTGATAGTGCGAGCAATCAATGTGTCAAACAAACAATTTGTTGCTATAATAAATAGATTCGTTTCAAATTTATGGTTATACTATCTAAAGCTACAAATAATGATATTATACACAGTCAGTCAAAACTTTTCTTTTTGAATGCTGGCCACAAAAAAGTTTATTGAATTCGAATTTCTAATTGTTCATGAAAATAAAAATGTATACTTTTTAGAATTTTACTCATTTTTAAATATGGAGTGGACGCTTAAATAGACCGTGTTGCAGTTATTGCGTTGCATCGTTGCGGTTACGCGCCAATTCAAATTTTTGACATACAGAAAAAATTTAATATAACCAAAAAATTCGTTTATCGTACCATCAAACGATACAATCAAGACTCTAGTGTAGATGACAGGTCAAGAAGTGGTCGCCCTCGGTCTGTTAGGACTCCAGCAGTGATAAAAGCTGTGAAGGCGCGAATTCAAAGAAATCCCGAACGTAAGTAGAAACTGTTGGCTCTTCAGATGGGGTTAAGCAGAACCACGGTGAAAAGGGTGTTAAATAAAGACTTAGGTCTTCGGGAATATTGAAGAAAAACAGGACATCGTTTGAATGCTCGTCTAATGGACCTGAGACTGAAGAGATGCCGCGCTTTGTTGAAGCGGTACGCAGGAAAAAAACATCGGGATATTCTTTTTTCGGATGAAAAAATTTTACCGTAGAAGAGAGCTACAACATACAAAATGATAAGGTGTACGCACACAGTAGTGTAGAAGCGAGCAACCGTATTCCGCGTGTCCAACGAGGTCATTTTCCATCATCGCTCATGGTATGGTTGGGAGTTTGGGGCTTAACAGAGGTACATTTTTGTGAGAAAGGTGTAAAAACGAATGCAGTTGTGTATCAAAATACAGTCCTGACGAACCTTGTGGAACCTGTTTCTCATACCATGTTCAATAAAAGGCTCTGGGCATGTCAACAAGATTCGGCGCCAGCTCATAGAGCGAAGATCACACAAGACTGGCTGGCGGCGCGTGAAATCGACTTCATCCGGCACGAAGACTGGCCCTCCTCCAGTCCAGATTTGAGTCCGTTAGATTACAAGATATGGCAACACTTGGAGGAAAAGGCGTGCTCAAAGCCTCATCCCAATTTGGAGTCACTCAAGACATCCTTGATTAAGGCAGCCGCCGATATTGACATGGACCTCGTTCGTGCTGCGATAGAAGACTGGCCGCGCAGATTCAAGGCCTGTATTCAAAATCACGGAGGTCATTTTGAATAAACTTTATTGTCATAAGAATCTATGTTTTGTTAAGTTCATTTTGGTGTATAAATGGTTACATAATGAATAAACTGGTTTCAATTATTTTATATTAAACATGTGACAGAATTTATGACCTGACTAGGTAATTCAGTACAAGACATAAGATGTTGTCGGTTTTCCAATAATACAAATGCAGTTATTAGTCGATATAACAATGAGCTTATTAATAAAGTGAGTAGTACATTAGAAGCGTTTTCCAATTGATTTAAAGCCAATATCCTTAATCTTGATGCTGAAAAAACAAAAGCTATTATTTTTAAATCAACTTCAGAAGCAAAAGACCCATTGGATTTGAAATTAAATTAAACTGTCAAAAAACAAAAACTCCGTAAATGAGGCAACTTATTATTGTAGTGTATGTATGTCAAATTCAAATATTGACGGGTTCAAACGCGTACTTTAAGAAATCTTTATCAAAGTATGTGTTTTAACCCGTAGTCATATTCCTAATGCCATGAGAAAGTTTCAAGTTGCTTTATTATTTGTTTGTTTGTTTATGTTATAAAGTTTAAATTTGTAAGTACATTGGGTAAGATTGCTGATTAAAGCATAAAACTAAATTTGATAGCAGTATATCCTTGTCATGATCTAATGAAAAGGAGAAACTGCTGTCTAATTTAGTTTTAAGAGGATCATGCTACAATCAGGCCCAGCGTAACATTAATACTTACTACCTGTATTCCTATTTCTTTCAAACTATTAGAAAAATTGCTACTTGGCGTTTGCGCAGTTAGCTATAATGCTTTTCTTTACGCTCCCAATCTACAATTGAAGATTTATGTATTACGAGAATTTAAGCAAACGTGCTCACCGCCGTATTCGAACCGCAATTTGTCACTTAATTAGAAACCTTGATATGGAGATTGATCTTTTGTTATAATGTTTAACACACTTATCTAATATGGTCATTGCCAATGGTTCCCAAATTGGCATTACGCAACTTTGCTCGACCAGTTGACCGAGTTTACGGAAGAATTAGGACGCATATAAACTACGTGAGATATTGTTATTAATGCATTATCAAGGTTTTGTGGGCCCATGACATGGCCCATGACATTACATAGCCTAACTCAAGGTCCGAATGCTCCCCTAATCACACTAATATTATAAAGGCGAAAGTTTGTGAGTGTGTATGTTTGTTACTTCTTCATGTCTAAACGGCTGGAGCGATTTTACTAAAATTTGGTATGGAGTTAGCTGACAGCCTGGACTAAGACAAAGGCTACGTTTGACTGCGGGAAAAGATCCCTTATAAACCGCAGGTAACACCGCGGGTTACAGCTAGTTATGTAATAACAAGAGATGCCATAAGGTTTCACCCGCAGTAATTTGATGAAAATGTTTATATAAAGTCGGTCCCTCTTAAAACATCAGACATAATATGCTGTCGCAGACTTTTTATAGAACTGTTTAAGGGGAACAACTCCGTAGTACATGATTTTGTGTAATTTTTACCGTTTATGCAGCGCTCGCAACGGAAGCTCTCAAATAGTTTTTTTTTCCGTTATTTACAAATTTTTTAGAGATTGCCGCCGATGCTTCGGATTGCTCTCACGGACGCGCGGGAACAAGAGGGTTTGCATGGTTGATTGTGTCTAGATGGCTGTCGTGACGAGGCAGCGCATTCTTGTCTGGCCTGTTACACCCACCAAACGCCTTGCATAAATTGGGTAGTATTTATTTTTGTATTAACTTTATTTTGAGGGCAGATTTTTGCGTTAACATATTTGACACTTATTGACGCGTTCTTTCTTTCTCTTTCATTTAATACCAATAAGTCAGTTTAACCAAAAATAACTGAGGAGCTCGATGGCGAAAGTGGTTAGCGAGTTCGGCCGCGATCGTTGAACTTAAACAACTTTCGCAGTGGTCGGTCATTGGATGGGTGACCAAAAATTACTATCTCGAGCTCCTCCGTGCTTCGGAAGGCACGTTAAGCCGTTGGTCCCGGCTGCATCTGCAGTCGTTAGCACCCACCAATTCGCACTGGGCCCGCGTGGTGGGTCATGGCCCAATCTCCCTATTCCATCCATAGGAAAGGCCTGTGCCCCAGCAGTGGGGACATTAATAGGCTGATGATGATGATGATGAGCCAATAATAGAGTAAGCAACTTATCAGATCTTAAGAAAAAGTTACTAGAATAAAATTCACGCCGACCAGGCAGCTGCAACAGAGGGGACTCAAACCCTACCT